AAGTACTTTAGGTATATCGTTTATGTATAAAATAAATAATAAAGGACCAAGAACGGAACCTTGCGGTACACCTTGCACTACAGGAGCCAGGCGAGGTAAAGAATTACCCGCGCATACTGCTTGCGACCTATCAGACATATACGAGTGTAATAAGTTTGACGCTGAAGTCGAGAAGTTGANATAAGTCTCAATGCGGATGGGAGGCCATTCCAAGGACGAATAGCGTGGACAAAGAATTGCCGCTCGGATATTGAGGTGTTGTATTTCGAGTGTAACAGCTGTGAAGATCTAGTTGACCGGGTATAGTGTAATCGGCACTTTAGATACTGCGGTTCATTCGTGACTAGAAATTTATGCAGCATTACGAGACACCTTACCTTTAATAGATCATTAAACGAGATTGAAAAAATCTTTGTGGCAGAATTCGAAATATGATCACGCTTTCTAATGCCATATATAAACCGGGAAATATTGTTGTACAGTAAATTAAGCTTCTTATTACATACACTATCACACTTAGCAAACAATTCTGAACCATATAAGAGTGTCGGTATCAGGCAACTTTTAACAAGAAGTAGGCGGATTTTGATTGGGGTAAAATATTGAGTGGCCCATAAGGACCGCAGCATACCATAAACTTTCCCGATCGCTCCATAGATGTGGCTGTTCCAGGTTAGAGTCCTGTTGAAAATTATACCAAGGTTTTTGGCGGAGTCAACGTTCCGGATTGTAGAGTTATTGAGCGTAACATTGTCAAAGCTGTCGAGCCGAAAGTTTTCTTATGTATAACAATGCCTTGTGATTTGCTGGGGTTTATGACCAGTCAATTCTTAGAAGCCCAACCATTGACATGGTCTAAATCATAATTAAGATTTCTGATGCAAGTATTAATTGGGTCAGGTGGGCAGCTGAGGTACAGCTGCACGTCATCAGCATACACATGAATCCTACAATGCTCAAGTACTTTAGGTATATCGTTTATGTATAAAATAAATAATAAAGGACCAAGAACGGAACCTTGCGGTACACCTTGCACTACAGGAGCCAGGCGAGGTAAAGAATTACCCGCGCATACTGCTTGCGACCTATCAGACATATACGAGTGTAATAAGTTTGACGCTGAAGTCGAGAAGTTGAAAAGATTTGCAAGTTTTAAGCCCAATAAGCAATGGTCGACGGTATCAAATGCTTTAGAGTGATCCAGAAGGGTGAGAAAGGTCGCGTAGTTCTCATACAGTTTTTGCCTAATATCGTCGGTGGCATTCAGCAGTGCCGTGATACAACCTCGATTTTCCCTGAATCCACACTGGTATTCGCTCACTAAAGAATGTTTTTTTTTTTTAAGTAATGTATTTGCTTATACATCAGGTGCTCCACCACCTTGGATAGAAACGGTAGGGTGGCTATCGGTCTATACTCGCCATTTGGCTTACGGATCGGAATTATTTTGGCCTTCTTCCAGCAGCTAGGAAACTCCGATTTCGTTAGGATTACATTCAATGTGTGGGTTAGATGCGGCAAAATTTTTGGTATGTGTGAGGTGTTTGAAACAAATAAACAAATAGCTGAATATTTTACAGCCGAGAGCTTGGAAATTAAACCGCTGACAACATTATGAAAGGGCCTGACGAATATCAGCCAGTATCTCATATATCAATGTTGTTCAAATTTCGACAAGGCCAAATTGCAGTATGTGGAGACATCCGCGAGATGCTCCACCGAATTCTCATTCGTCAGGAGGATCAAAATTCACAGCGCTTCCTGTGGAGAGGTGGCGATTGATTTAAGCAACCATACGTGTATATGATGTGCGCAATGATCTTCGGATCTGTTAGTTCACCTTGGTCAGCACAATTCATTAAGAATGTAAATGCAGAGAAATATCGGGGCAGTTGTCCGAGAGCAGTGAACGCTGTTATCGATCGTCATTATGTCGACGATTATATGGACAGTTTTAACGCTACGGGAGAAGGTATTAGCATCACAAAGCAGGTGATAGACATTCACGGCAGCGCCGGCTTTCAGCTTCGAGGCATAGTTTCCAATTCTAAGGAACTGGTACAAGCCGTGGGAAATAATTCGGATACACATTTACCACAGCTACATAATCTTTGGCAAAATGAGTGCGCAACGGAGAATGTGCTCGGCATGCATTGGAATCCCGCTGAAGATCAATTTATGTTTAAGTTAACCTTCACTAAAGTGCTAAAACCAGTTCTTGACGGCACCAGACGAGCAACTAAAAGTTAAGTACTAAACGCAATGATGTCAATTTTTGCTCCTTTGGGGTCTCTTTGCAACATTATCCTGCGCGCTAAGATACTTATGCAGAGATTGTGGCAGAGAAAAGTTGATTGGCATGAGCCAATCCCAGACGGCATATACGTAAAGTGGATGAAATGGTACAACAGCCTGCGCTACATTGAACGCTTCAAGATGCCAAGGTGTTACAGTAGAAGTTTCCTCAACGCCGATGCTGATGTGCAGTTGCACATTTTTGTTGATGCTAGTGAGCTCGCGTACTCAGCGGTTGCATTCTGTCGCATGCAATACGAAGCTGCAACCGAGGTATCGTTTATTGCAGGAAGGTTCCGATGTAGTCCGCTGAAGCCGGTTTCAATTCCAAGGTTGGACCTCCAATCCGCCGTATTAGGAGTTCGACTGAAGGATGTCATAGTCGGCAGCCATGACATAAACCCCAGAAGCGTAACGTTTTGGTCCGACTCAAAAACGGTAATCTAGTGGATAAGGTCCGATGCCAGACGTTACAAACCGTTTGTTGTACATCGAATAGCAGAAGTTTTGGAATCCTCAGACGCATCCCATGGCGATGGCTACCAGGCAATGATAACCCAGCCGACGACGCTATACGTGTAAAAACATTCAGCTTAAATAGTAAGTGGTTGAATGGTCCTAGTTTTCTTAGGTTACCTCAAAGCAACTGGCCCGTCATGCCTGTCATCAGACTGCAATGAGGAAATGCTTTGCAAACAATTGTATCCTATATATGAGAATGGAATTTTGCCATTCCATAGATATTCAAATAATTACAGTTTCATTAAAATTATGAGTTGGGTCAGACTCGCCATCAGGAAATTTCGCGAACGTAGCTTTACTGTTCCTAAGATGTAAAATGTCAAACAAATGAAGAACACCGAATTGTTAATCTGCCGTTTAGTACAAGAAACTGCATCCTCCGAGGAGCTTAAATGCCTGCCCTATACTAGATGAAGAGGGAGTCTTGCTGCTAGGCGGACGCATTGATTTCGCAGAATGTATACCAATTTCAACGAAGCGACCGATAATTTTGCCAAAGGGTCATGCTATTTCTAGCCTTATTGTAAGGCAGTTTCATGAGTTATATTGTCACCAAAACTTCGAGGCTACAATTTGCGCGATACGATATAAATTTTGGGTTCCTAATGTACGCTGTCTTCTTAGATCAGTCAAAACCCAGGGCAAAGTATGTAAAAATTTAACGGCCATCCCTGAAGCGCCGCTGATGGACAATTGCCAATTGGTAGGGTCACTCCGTTCGTGCCGGTCGCACACAGGTGTCGACTATTTTGGACCTGTACTCGCTGCCATAGGAAACCTCCAGGAAATCCTGAAGCTGGTGGCATATGGGAGAGGATGGTACGCATCGTTAAACGAGTTTTGCTCTTAACCTTAAAAGCACGTGCACCACAGTCTGAGACGCTACAAAGTCTCTTAATAAAGGCGGAAAATTTAATTAATTCACGTCCGTTAACGCATGTGCCTATAGAGAACTCTGACGCGGAGCCCCTTGCGCCGAATAATTTCTTGTTGGGTTGTCCCAACTATGCACAAACCACCGCCGTTTCCGAAAAGGTAAACCTCCGAAAGCAATGGCACATAAGCTCAGAAATTGAAGCAAACATTCTGGAAAAGGTGGGTCCTAGAATATCTGCCTACTTTGACACGTCGAACAAAATGGTACAAAAGGGTGAAACCAATAAGCACCGGAGATGTGGTTATAATATGTGATGACAACGACAGCCGAGTCCACTGGAAGCGAAGTATCGTGGTCGAAGCTAAGCTAGCCGCTGATGGTCAAGTCCGATCCGTTTTAGTTAAGACCGCCGCAGGAAATCGACGGCGACCAGCATCTAAGATCGCAGTTCTGGATGTTAAAGGTGATTCTCTCGTAAGTGAACCGAATCACGAGGGGGAGAATGTTGCCGATTAAATCATTTAGAATTCTTCTACGTTTAAGTCTAATTTTTAACTGCAATAAAATCCTAATATTTGTAACATTCGTACGCTAAAATGCAATCATGCCCCGAATATGTACACGCCATTGATTTGACCGAACCATTTTGAATTTGACCGTTTGGCTTTTGAAAGACGTACGAGCACACGGATAAGTAAGTCGCGTTATAATTTTTCGCTATTCATATTGCATTTCAATTAATATAATTTTCAGATATTAAAACACATCTACATTCCGTATAGACGCACTAAGAGTAAACTAATAAACAAATACTTGTATCTTTCTTTATATATCCTTGCATTTTTTAATGACTTTAAGCATATTCGTCGCCGCCTCGTACGACCGACCTAAAGTTGCTATTGCGCCAGCAACAGAGACAATAATCCGAAGTACACTGCCGAAATAGTGTGACTTTGGAAATTTTACAGCGTTTCTCATGTACTTAAGATACTTTCCCGCATCACCCAATCTTAATCCAATCGAGTTTTTCTGTGACGAACTTTAAATTAGGATAAGGAAGTATATTAAATTAAATGAAATCAGCTGGCGAAAAATACCGCCAAAAGTTACATAAAAGTTAGTGCAGTCCAGGCAAAATAGACTGAAAGTGGTAATAAAACGAAAAGTGATGCAGTCTAGATACTTATTTAGGCTGTGTTTCACCAGATTCATTTTAGGGAAAATTACTTTAATTTTCGAATTTTTGGTTTCACCAATCAATTTTAATATTTTTTTTTTTTTGTTTAAGTGACCTATGCTCTTCACTTAAATAAAAATTAAATCAGAGTAACCACACTCAGAGATGTTACACGTTTAATCAGCTGACCAACGTACACACACCACAATTTTGTGTATCTGCTGCTTACTTGTATACCAGCCCTGCTTTTACATCACAGCGTGACAAAGCTTTCAAAAGCTCTCAGTACAATTTATATAGGGCAGGCACAAAATGAAAGCTTTCGCTGGTCGAGTCTGTTTCCAGCCACTTTTTACTCACTTAAATAAAGATCTTATTGAAACTGAAAATAATTTAAACGAGAATTAAATAAGAAATTAAATTACAGTTAATTTCCACTTAGATGAGTTTGGAGAAATGCAGCCTTATAGTTTTGTTCAGATGAAAACTGAGTTACCTTAATATATTGAATTATTTAAATTTAGTTTAAATAGTTGTAATAATTGAAATATATCGTTTTGTTCCTTGATATCTGGCCTTCCATTCCATTTTTCCAGAAATATATATTAATTGCTTTTTGTTCCTCTTTTAGACATATTTACTTAATTAGTATGATTTAATGCCGGTAACTTTTGTCGATGACTATGTATATTTACTAACTTACAAAATGTCATTTTTTTACAGCTGGTTAACTTGTCGGCCCGTCGAACAGTTTCTCATAATTAAGATGTTATTAACATTTCAGGACAGATTACGTATTCCATGGCGTGGCGGATCTAAGCATGCCACATTGGGTAGCCTTATTCCCGTTGTTGCGATTCCATTACTTATTAGCTTAGCAGCAATCAATGCATATACCTGCATTATATTATTTTTAACAAGCTCTGTGATAATGTGTTATGCTTTCAATTACGTCCAGAGCAAAGCAATACGGACAAGTTTTTTCAGCATATGGGTGTTTTCATCATTGGTCTACTTGATAGTGTTGTTTGAATTCACTGTACCGCTTTTGGAACTACTCCCAGAAGAGAATTGGGCTTTAGTCGCACTCTCCATAATTTCATTGATTTGCTTTTATCAGACTCGTAAGCGAGCTATATTAAATCACGTCATACAGTTTGCTGGAACAGCAAATGGAGTACTCATCGTTACAGAAACAAGCGTCTCAGAGGAAGATAAGACGATAAAAGCAGCTCTACTGCTAGAACAGGACATGGAAGAAATACCATCTGATTGTGCGAACCGCGTTCAACCAAATGTTTGCTCAATCTGTAGTAAGTGTGTGCCGGCGCGAACTGTACATTGCTCAGTTTGCAGTGCTTGTATTAAGAGACACGACCACCACAGCTATTGGTTAAATTGCTGCATAGGAGAATCAAATCATCGTTTCTACATTTTTGGATTGTTATTTAGCACATTCGCATTATTATTGGGCGCTAATTTGACACTTACTGCTGTTTGTCATCCTTTTATAGCAGCAAATATATTAGGACTGCACATATTGCTACCGGATGATTGCACCGAGGTTTTTGACATATACGAGTATGTCCAAAAAGTTACATGCTGATACAGTTTAAATAAAAATCTTGTTTATAATAGGTTCGGCTTAGCTTTTGTCATTGCTGCCTATGCTTTAATGATTGCTGCATACATCATGCTAATACTTGTGCGACAAATATATTTCATTTCGCGTGGAACATCATTACATGAAAGCAAAACAGAGGTGCGCGGGAATAATAAAACTTTGAAGTACAACTGGAGGAATTTTGTATTTTAGTAAGAAATATATAGTTACCTTAATATAGAAAGGCCCTAACTCACTTCCATTTTGAGTCCACATTTATACGAAATCTGTAAAATAGCTCACAATATATCTAATAGAAATTGAAAACAAATATTACAGCGTTAGATAAAATATTTTGTTTGATAAAAATCAGCACTTCGACGAAATTCGCAACCATAGAACTTTGCTTTTTACTAAATTTTCAAACTGTCTTTGAAAGAACGAAAATTTTAGATATGGCCTTTCTATATTATGGTAACGATATGTATGTCGTGAGTAAATATGTAAAACTAGCTGTACCCGGAGTGCGTTGTTGCGCCTCAAAATAAAGGGCGTTCCATAATTTACGCAAGGTTTAAATTAGATATTTATTTATTGGACTTACTTTAAAAATTAATTTTCAAAGTATAATATATGGCATCGAATAATCAGGTCCTGAGATGCCTGTTTAGCTTAGGTTTAGGTTTACATTTCCATATTTAAATATACTAGTATCGCCCAGTTGTCGAAATTCGACATCTTTTTTCATACACTTTTGAATTTTACCTGTCACCAATACTAACTCCTTTATGCGAATTACTTATTATATCATTTTGAAGTCCACCAGCATAACTTATAGCGAATTTACAGGAAAACTTAAAATCGAATTATGAACGTTAGTACTGGATTGATTAATGCTAATTCTACCAAGTCTCCTCCAAATTTCTTCAGTTGCTTTTGAAATTAGACCGAAAAAGGAACCTCGATTTTCATTTATAAAAAATATGCATATGTATTTGTATGTATAGATGAGATGTTCATCACTGACTAATATGTCAAACATATACCAATTTAGACTGTAAATAAGTTTTTCGATTATTTTTGTCTGAGAGCCTCTTGGAGCTTAAAAACTAAATTGCCCACACCTGCATAAACTCTTTCTTTTTTCATGAGAATCGTTAACGGTTGAGAAAGTATCTAGAAGGTTTACAACAAAAGATAATATTTCCTTCTCTTACGGTTGTTTCACACGGGTTTTTGTCATGACTGCGCCAAAGCCCAATATTTTTTCATCACACGACTGGGCTACCAAGTTACACCAAATTTTATGTTACTAATATGTGTTCTAAAAGTGAAACAAATCTGATCATAAATATGATTTTTTAGGATAGCTCTAATCCCTGCGCCACCTATCGGAAGACAAACACACTGATCCTTCTAAAAACTTTTGCACAAAACCGCAATCAATGCGATTTTAAAATCTGGGAGAAAATGGTTCCCAATTGAATGATTATTGCGATTTTATATGTGTAAAAATGTAGGTGTATAAAATTCCATTACCTAATATACCTAATAGTAATAAAGGTGATTCTCTCGTAAGTGAACCGAATCACGAGGGGGAGAATGTTGCCGATTAAATCATTTAGAATTCTTCTGTGTTTAAGTCTAATTTTTAACTGCAATAAAATCCTAATATTTGTAACAGTCGTACGCTAAAATGCAATCGTGCCTCGAATATGTACACGCCATTGATTTGACCGAACCATTTTGAATTTGACCGTTTGGCTTTTCAAAGACGTACGAGCACACGGATAAGTAAGTCGCGTTATAATTTTTCGCTATTCATATTGCATTTCAATTAATATAATTTTCATATATTAAAACACATCTACATTCCGTATAAACGCACTAAGAGCAAACTAATAAATAAATACTTGTATCTTTCTTTATATATCCGTGCATTTTTTAATGACTAAGCATATTCGTCGCCGCCTCGTACGACCGACCTAAAGTTGCTATAGCGCCAGCAACAGGGACAATAATCCGAAGTACACTGCTGAAATAGTGTGACTTTGGAAATTTTACAGCTTTTCTCATGTACTTAAGATACTGTCCCGCATCACCCAATCTTAATCCAATCGAGTTGTTCTGGGACGAACTCTCAATTAGGATAAGGAAGTATATTAAATTTAATGAAATCAGCTGGCGAAAAATACAGCCAAAAGTTACATAAAAGTTAGTGCAGTCCAGGCAAAATAGACTGAAAGTGGTAATAAAAAGAAAAGTGATGCGGTCTAGATACTTATTTAGGCTGTGTTTCACCAGATTCATTTAAGGGAAAATTACTTTAATGTTCGAATTTTTGGTTTCACCAATCAATTTTAATTTGTTTTTTATTTGATTTAAGTGACCTATGCTCCACTTAAATAAAAATTAAATCAGAATAACCACACTCAGAGATGTTACACGTTTAATCAGCTGATCAACGTACACACACCACAATTTTGTGTATCTGCTGCTTACTTGTATACCAGCCCTGCTTTTACAACACAGCGTGACAAAGCTTTCAAAAGCTCTCAGTACAATTTATATAGGGCAGGCACAAAATGAAAGCTTTCGCTGGTCGAGTCTGTTTTCCAACCACTTTTTACTCACTTAAATAAAGATTTATTGAAACTGAAAATAATTTAAATGAGAATTAAATAAGAAATTAAATTAAAGTTAATTTCCACTTAAATGAGTTTAAGCCTTATATTGTTTTCTATTACGTTTTAATTAAATGTAATAAAAAATGCCGAATACTTTTGTTCAGATGAAATTTGAGTTACCTTAATATATTGAATTATTTAAATTTAGTTTAAATAGTTGTAATAATTCAAATACATCGTGTTATGGGTTACTGTTCGCCGCACAAAGTATATATACTCAATTCTTCGGCGTATAGTGAACCCGGTGGCGTGCCATTAATTTCACCCTCTAATAAATTTTCTAGAGCGTACGGCAACTCCAAAACTCCATGGAAGGTTTCCATTTGGGCGATAGCTGTGTTCCTTGCGGACAGTGTCGCTGATTGTCACTACTTCCTGCAGGTCTGTTCGTCTATTTTTTTTTTCGGTTAATAAACGATTTCCCGAGGAGGCTGGTGATAGTTGCGACAACTGTCTGAAACTGCCGTCTTCACGGGATGGAGTTTATGTCTTGACACATATGTTGGAGTGTGGAGAGCAATATATGTCGGTGGCTTGCTAGTTTGACAGCTGCGTTCTCCTTTGCACTGAAACTTTCTGGTGGCGGCAGTATCCATAGTTTGACATACGGCATGTGCCACAAATGCAGAAGCTTTATTTATGTGTGTTGATGAAATCCTTAAATTTACATATATTTTATAACTTGCAAGTAACATACGTTATTTTTGTTTTTATCAGTTTCCATTTTAATTTTTACTTTTTTACCGCCAATAATATTCTGCCTTATCCTGAGTTTCGAAAACTGTTCATCCGCCGTAGTAAATACATAAAAACCAAAGGTGAAAAGTGAACCTTTTCGGGGAAAATGGAACTCATGATAAGGCTGAATACATTTAAAAGCTTTCAAAATTTTATCTAGCCCCAGGAGCTAGATAAAATGCTCACGTTCGTATTCACCACGAAAATGTCGAATCTTTATTCTGATTCGTCGAAGGTTCCACCATTCTATCAATTGGCATGACCCATAGAAGCAAATGTTGAGCGTCTTCCATTTAATCGCTTTGAAAATTTAGAAAATAGGTTATTTTACATCCAAGTACATAATGACAAATATTTTAATAGAAGAAAACTCAGTTTTTGCTTTTATATTAAAATATCGATAGTGCTGCCGCCATGAAGTTTTTCGTGCAAATGAGAATGTAGCTGTCGGGCAACCAAGCTGACGGCGGTGGATGGCAGGATATAAGCTCTGATATACGTTGCTCTTGAAGAGCAAGGAGCGGTCTCCATTGGATATTCATATTCTAGCATATGTGTCGGGATATGGACTTTGTCGTGTGGAGACGGGCAGTAACTAGGTCATCGCAACCCCGGATTTTTTTTTGCTATTCTTCCTTGCACTGCGGCAAACTTCATTTGGAAGAGTAGCGGAACTAGTCCAAATGACGCAGTGCCCGTTTTTCTTCCAAATGGAATATTCCCGCAGTGCAAGGGTATAAAAACCCGCTGGCAATCCCATAGTCGGCCATTGTTATTTCTGTTTGGTTGTGAAAAGTACGAAAACGTGTTCACAAATTTATAAACGCGCTTTACTGAATTAATTGATAAATGTATATATTAGAGTCCAGCGCAAGTGTATTTGCCGCATTTCGTTCAATAAGTACTCCATGCATTGTACTCTACTCCCAACACATTGTTACTCTTTTTCCGCATACATACACTACTTGGCGTTGAGAGAGTAAATACTTGATGTACTTGCTATTACTCCACCAAAGTACGTACTCTACTTTCCCTCATCGCGTACGAGAGATATTTGCTGCTGCCAAAAGGGAGTAGCAAATCTACTCTCTGTATACTTGTAGTACGGTAAGTACTTGCGTATTAAATTTCAATTCTGGTTGTTAGCCTACTAGTTGATATCGTTTGCAGCGCTGGTCAGTGAAATTGAAAGAGTAAAAATAGAATATGGAAATCGACGATGTAAGGAAATGTTTACGGCCTTATTTATAAAAAATAACGTAGATTTAGACAGTTGTTTAATGTGACATTTTCATAAAACTTTTGTATTCAAGCAGCTTTTTAA